TTAATCTCAGATCTCCGATCCCCTTGAAAGAAGACCTTAGGCTTCTATTTATAGGCTTTTTGAGATGTGTCTCCTAGTAGGAATTGATGTTTAAACGTTATCTGCGGTTTATAACTGTCTAAACGTGTTTATGGATAACCTCAGAGCAGTTGGAGAGGTTTTGGGACGAAAGAATCCTTAAAAATCATTGAAATCCGTGTTTGGGGAGGTTTTGTATCCAACAAGAGTCCTGGTGACTCGGGACTGTGCGAGTCAGCTTCTGGTGACTCGGAACTGTGCGAGTCAGCTTCTGGTGACTCGGAACTGTGCGAGTCAGCTTCTGGTGACTCGGAACTGTGCGAGTCAGCTTCTGGTGACTCGGAACTGTGCGAGTCAGCTTCTGGTGACTCGGAACTGTGCGAGTCAGCATTTGGTGACTCGGAACTGTGCGAGTCAGCATTTGGTGACTCGGCACTGTTCAAGCTTCTAAGCAATGTTTCGTGATTCTTCCAGCTTCTTTGTTTTGCGTACGCTTCGTCGCCTTGCTGATTTTGGATGAATTCCTTTGACTTGGATAATAACGTTTATCGTCTTTTCCTTGTCTTGCACTGTGTTTGAGGACTTATGGGCAATTTTTAATGCCTACACACCTCTCAGCTTCGATTTTGAGCAATTAAATGGATGGGGTTTAGGACTACGGCCTCTCACTGCCAATGCATCTCTCGATGCCTTCTCGGAGGGTTCGCCATTACTCTTCCTCAACTCATAATTCACCAATGCTGAGGTCATCTCCTTGTAACTAACACGAGCACAAATCAACAACCAAAAAACAAGAACCACACGAGCAAGACACCAAATTTACGTGGTTCGGCAATGTGCCTACGTCCACAGGGCAAGGAGGAGATATATATCACTAATAGAGAGAGAGAGAGAGAGAGAGAGAGAGAGAGAGAGAGAGAGAGAGAGAGAGAGAGAGAGAGAAAAAAAAAAGATAATAGAAAGAAGAGATGCCGCCAAATACTCTCTCTCTCTCTCTCTCTCTCTGTCCTCTGTCCTCTTGGTTCTGTGGACTCACTGATGCCCACATGCTCTCCCTCCCCCCACTTCGATCGAAGTGCGACGTCACCACCGGTCAACTTAAACATAATCTGACGAGCATGTGGCGGGCCCCACTCCATGGGAACAAGGGGACTGATGATTGAAGTTTGAGGCGAGATATAAAGTGAGAAAATGACTCGAGCGCGGGGGCAGGAAAAAAAAAAAAGAAAAAAAAAAGAGCTGGCTCTTTCTCAGTGTGATTATGAGATCTGAGATAAAGTGACTCTCCCAGCTAGTCAGTTGCATGTCGACCCCTTGACATGGGCGCGCACGGTTCGGATACGGATTAAAATACGATATCAGTATTTAATTGCTTACGGATCATACAGATACAAATTAAAAAATAATGATAGGAGCACATCCTCAACCACACTTCCAACCACACCCCCACACTCTTTATAGTGCTTGTGGGCCATGCATGATATTTTAAAAAAAATATCATGCATGACCCACTAGCACTATAGAGACACGTTTGCTATATCCACTCCCAAACAGTAATTTTGGAAGTTGGATTGTCGAAAATACCCTTAAGAGCAATTTAGTCCTCACACACCCCCAAAGTTACTGTTTGGGAGTGTGAATAGTTGGACCCCTATAGAGAGTGTGGGGGTGCGGTTGGAAGTGTGGTTGAGGGTGTGCCCCTAGTAGGACTCATATAAATAAGCCTCTATAAACAAAATTCCTTAACATTCCACTAAAATCAAATACAGATGCAAATGTATGTGCGGACATACATACAGATCAAAATGGATATTCGTTAAAAAAAATCATAATATCAAAAAAATTATAGTTCATATGCTATAAGAGGGATCATTAATAATTTTTATCTTAATCTCAAAAACTGAAGATTAGATTTCTTGATTATCAAAGTTGGTCTCAGATCCATTAATCTAATAATTATAACCGGATATCCAGAATACAAATGTGAATATTTCACTACATAATCATATCTATCACCATATTCTAGATTTTAGCAAGCAACAACATCCGCATTCTCACGAGCACAATTTTTTTTTTTTTTGACAAATTAATCCTAAGAAGGTCTATTTGTCAAATAATAATAATTTTCTCGTTCTTTGAAGGTAATTAAGGTAATGGAAGTCAAATAAATTCACCCAGAGGTCTATATGCAAATAATCAGACGACAGGTCTATCAATAATTGGGCATAGTAGAAGGGGTCTATTCATAACCCTATCAACAATATTAATTCCTTATACACACTTTGTACCACAGGGGGAAAATAACTTACTAAAGTTTTTATGAGCACATTAACCTCTTGATATTCAACCGAAATTCCCTGTATATCAGTGGCACCTATCACTTGACGTCAATGTATTGCAGAGAGATACTTGATATTTCAATGAACAGCCGTCATCCCCTATTCTCTCGTGGGTATTAAACAAACACCTCCCAACGTACAGATAAAAATACCAGAGACAACTCCATTCGAGCATCATGAAGTCTAAATGCTAATAAAAAAGAGGTTGGGGATAATAAGTGCCTCTATGGTACAATACATGATGTACCTGCAAACTGCAATCAACCTTGGAAACAAGCTCCAGTTGTGCTAAGTAAAAGTTGGAATTCATGCAGAAAAAAGAGTGTAGAATTCCACAGTCCTCTAACAATCCGTGTCGGCATTGTATAACAAGGTCATATGAGGGTACATAGATTGATATGATACAGTTATTAGACATGAGGCTAACTTAAACTTACTGGACGCTCTCCAGTAGCCCGAGGCGGATCCTTCTGATTTGTGATTTTCTTCTGCGTCTTCTCAGTTAGTATGAAGACCCGCACAGACACTGATGCAATTGGACGTGAGTTTCTAGACCCTGCCTAATTATGTAGTCTGTCGTACACAGTTGTTGCTAGAGAGCCTTTTCATTGGAACTGAATTCAGAAGTTCATCGCCTTCTTTCCCCATCTGTTGCACTTCTCGAGGTGAAAGTATTTTTATGCACCAAACGTTATTGACAAACTCCCTGTAGGAATCACAGCACGTTAAGTTCAGGTGAAGCGAAATTGAAATATTGAAAAGCAAACTATTTTGTTATATGTGTATCACAAGCTGTACGAAATATGACATCTTAAGGAAAGGTTGAATACACTTATTGAGGTACCAGTTTATAACTCCGTACTCAGTAATACTTGTCATGGCACTAGGCAATACTTGTCATGGCATATTAATTTCATGCATGAGCTATGTATGTGAAGAGGAAAAAAAATCCCTCATAAACATGTCCTTGAAAATAGTTGTGCCAACTTGAGAATTTCAATCCATAATGAAGTAACTCATGCCACAATCCCAGCAGGTCAAACTGTCCATGCAAAACTACATCCAACTAACCTCTAGTTTGGTTCATGAAAATGATGAGAACAGCTAATAGCAGGGTCCATATCGATCTTCTGTCCTATGGTTTTATTTAATATATAATAAATAGAAAATGAAAACTAAAAATAGTAAAAGAGAATAGCAAGGCACAATTTAATCTAAGTTAATCATAATCTCATACTAAACAAAGGAAAAGGTTCACGCTAACATGATTAGTTAAGTGCGTTTTTTGTGACCATTATTTCATTTCTTCTTGACGATATTTAAACCAAATTAAGGTAGTCATGTTTCTATATGGACCAGCATATATCAACGACAGCCAGATCTTTGCCAAAAGACACATTTCTGTATGTAAGGGCAACTACCTATTAACCAAAACCAAGAAAACAATTGATTTTCACCAAAACCAGGTAAGATATATGCCTTTAAATAGTATCAATTATAAAAACTATGCATGGATACCTGAATCTTACAACATCCAAATTTCACAAAAGAGTTGTGCATATGATAACTAGACTCAAGAAGTGTATATGAGTTATAATCATCCTCAACTTTTTACGTTTCACATACGTGGTATGTTGTCAGCTCTCTTATTTCAGATTTTACCCGTATTTCTCATTATTTGGAACATTTATCGATTTGAGGCATTTGGATAATATAATTTACCAAAGGCATGCATCCTTACTAAAACTGTTAGCATCAATTGTGAATAGTCAAACAGTTGACATGTGCCGAAAGAAAAGTACTAATTAACAGCCACCAATTTGACCTCACTTAATAATGGTAGATAGAATTTATAACAATAATAGCATAATAGATAAAAGTAAAGTTCAGAACCAAAAGACTGAATAGATATTGTCCGAAAAAAGGAATTAAGAGACTTACTGCCAGGGATCATCGCCGACCAGAAGAACATCATTCTCCCGATCGACAAATACAAGCTGCCAGCCTCTTTCTTGTTTTCATTTCTCTTTTCTCCCCAAGTGCCAGCTCTACAACATCTAACACAATATATATTGTGATAGGTAGTATTGGCAAGTGGGTAGGGGTTGATGTAAGTATTGGCAAGTGGGTAGGGGTTGATGTCAATGGCATGAAGAATCTTGTAATTTCTTTTATTTCCTTCATTCTTGTTCACCCCTCTTTTATACTACAGTAAGGAGCTGAAGTTAGGCTTCTGGATGGTGGTGCTGCCCAGGCACCTTTTATAACATCCCTGACTTAATAATTGATTGCAGGCTAAATCAACTCTATTCTTCTTTTACACCTGAATGTTGTTTACTAATTCTTCTAAACTGACAGCCAAATCTTCCTTTTCTAGCAACCATTTTTTTTGTTAAGAATCTTAGACATATAAAAGGCATAGAATACCTGGTATCACATGGTTCTTTAAAATCATCTTTCAAATTGCTTTTGCTAGGTATAGAATCATTAAATAAAAGGCATATTTCAAAAATGCTCAAATAGCATAGACAATATTAGTTACTCATGCAAGGGGAGTTGTGGGTGTGGTCTTTTTGTTCTTTTTCTTATGATCGGGTTTGTTGTTTTTGTGAGGATCTGGTTTCTACAGAAGCTAACTTCTTTGAGTTGCAAATTGCAATTGAAAACTGATCATGGATTTAGCGAGGCTAATTTTCAAATGAATATGTCTCTATGTTGTAAGTCTGTGTCAGGTTATTTGTTTTGGTTTTCTGATTGTTTGATGATATTCTTCTGCGGGAAAGCAAATGTCTTGATGAAGTGGAAGTTTTTATATCAGATCCTTATCAATCTTCTGCACAATCAGCGAGGCTAATTTTCAAATGAATATGTCTCTATGTTGTAAGTCTGTGTCAGGTTATTTGTTTTGGTTTTCTGATTGTTTGATGATATTCTTCTGCGGGAAAGCAAATGTCTTGATGAAGTGGAAGTTTTTATATCAGATCCTTATCAATCTTCTGCACAATCAAGCATGTGGATTTGCTAATGCAAGAAAAGGTAGTACAAGAGAATCATGAAGTGAGTTGATTAAAATTTGTGACATGGCATCTACCAGTATGAAGCATGGTGATACAAGCAGTTCGAGGAGGCCAAATATTGTTAAGGGGTCATCCAGTTCAGTTGAAAGGCTTGGAAGAGAGATGCTGGAGATGAAGCTGAAAGACTGGAGGGCAGACACAGACGAGGAAAAAGTAATATTCTAAACTTACATACTTTTCAGACAAGCATATGCACATGTTTAGATCAAAATAAGTTAATATTTTTGAGCGGATAAGTCACTATTGTCTGCTGGTTGCGGAGATTTTGTAGAAGTTTGTTAGTTTCTCCACTTTCTTAAAGACCATAAAGAAAATTTTCTTGTAATCTGGTACAGGAAGTTTCTTCTTTTTCATTTTTATGAGATACTTGTGGTGTTTTCTTTTCCAGGATATTGAGATAGATGTTGTTGATGGAGTGGATATTAAATCTGGGCATATCATTGCCACCACAATTGGTGGTCGAAATGGCAAACCCAAGCAGGTTGCTAAAGAAATTCTTGCTGTTGCTCATTATTATTGTCAAAGTGCTGGATAACTGCATATAAGCAGTTTCGGCACCATAGTACAGATGCTGATTTAATAATTGACTGAACAGCCAATTACATACATAGCAGAACATGTGATCGGAACTGGTTCTTTTGGTGTTGTATTTCAGGTATCAGTTTGTTCTTATGCCACATATATTTACTCTTATTTAACTATTGGTTTTTTTGGCTATATACTCCTCAAATCTTGATATTTATTAACACGCCCCCAGTTCCTCTACACTGCCCTAGAATTCCCCTGGAAAAGAATATTCTCAAGTATCCCTTGTCTTTTCTTGACGATTTGGGAGCATTTTAATAAATATCAAGATTTGAGGGCATTTTACTAAATGTCAAGATTTTGGGGGTAGTTTAATATATAGGGATGATTTGGAGGTGTATATGGCCAAAAAAACTCTTAAGTATTATAGTTTAGGACGAAGTTTTCCTTTTTCGTTCAGGCAAAATGTAGAGAAACTGGAGAAATCGTTGCGATCAAGAAGGTTCTTCAAGATAAGCGCTACAAGAACAGGGAGTTGCAGATCATGCACATGTTAGACCATCCTAATATTGTCGCTCTCAAGCACTGCTTCTTTTCTACCACCAATAGGGAAGAGATTTACTTGAACCTTGTGCTTGAGTTTGTCCCTGATACTGTCAATCGTATTGCAAGGCAGTGTAACAAGATGAACATATGTATGCCCCTGATACATGTTAAACTCTATATTTATCAGGTTTGTTTGTTTTTCATATTTCAACTATTTTGAGATTTTTTTTAATCAATAACCTTTAGTTGTTTCTTGTTCATTTTCTGACTCTCAACCTTATAACTGTGTCTTTGTTCTTATTAAATTTTGACATTGATGCAGCATGCTAAATGACTAGTGCTTTCTGAACTTCTATTGGTCTAATCCTTTCATCTTCTAATACTCATTATTAAATTGTTAATCTGTAGCTAATGACTATTAGTTATCTTGCTATATGCCTTTACTAACAGTTGGCTCAGTGTGAAATCCAGATTGAATACCTTTTTTTAATGTGTTAATCTCTAGGATAAGCAAACAAAGATTTCTTTAGACGGAAATGAAACTAGGAAATAATTCGATTAAGAAGCATTGATATTACCTATTAGTTAGAAGCCAAAGGTGAAAGTTGTCACTCACCTTGATCTCCGTTGTAGATCAGATGGCTTTCTTTGGGAATTAACAGGATGCAATGCGTTGATTGAGTCAGCTCCCAAAATCGTCAATTCTACCAGATAGTCAAGCATAGAGATTTGGTTCATCATGCAGTTTGCTCCAATCTAGAATAAGATAAGATGACCTGAGATGGTTAAGAGATGTTTAACATATACAAATTGTTGTGCTAGTTATGAGGCGTGATTTGTGTGACATAATTGTTAGGGTACACACTAACAATAACGCCTCAAATGGAGATGTAATACACAAAATAAAGGCACAAAAATCAATCATAGTACTCATAGGTATACGTGGTTAACTCCTTCGGAGCTGCTCCACGGTACAACGACGCCAAATTTTTTATATCCCAAAAGAATAGATCAATCTTGATCAGATACACTCCAAGAACTCTCACAATCTCTCTGTATTTTCTCTCTTACTCTTCTATGAGAGGAGTTGTTTTTGGGATGAGTTTTTCCTTAAGAATTTAGGTCCTATTTATAGTGTTTGGGAAACACTATACACTAATAAAATATTATTAGCGAGACCCGTCACTAATAATATTTTATTAGTGGGACCTGTCTTTGTAGGGCTCATCTTTTGTTTTATTAGGCCACTTTCGGTCACCGAAAGAGGGGGGGTCAAAAAAGGGTGGGCTGACAATCTCCCACTTGAAGATTTTCGAGGAAGGACTCAGAGACTGTAGCTGTTCAGGTAGAAGATAATCCGAATTCTTCTGAAGCAACACTGGAGCATGATGTACAAGAACCGGTCGAGTTCGAGGCTCCAGAAATTCGAAGGTCAACTCGTGAGAGAAGACCACCGACTTGGCACTCGGAGTATATTACAGATAGTAATGTTGCATACTGTCTTCTAATGGAGGATGGAGAGCCATTAACTTTTTATGAAACTATAAATAGCACAAATATATCTTTGTGGATGATAGCAATGCAGGAAGAAATTGAATCTCTCTATAAATTATCAGCCCACCCTTTTTTGACCCCTCTTTCGGTGGCCAAAAGTGGCCTAATAAAACAAAAGGTGAGCCCATAAAGACGGGTCCCACTAATAAAATATTATTAGTGACAGGTGCCGCTAACAATATTTTATTAGTACATAGTGTTTCCCAAACACTATAAATAGGGCCTAAACTCTTAAGAAAAAACTCATTCCAGAAACAATTCCTCTCATAGAAGAGTAAGAGAGAAAACACAGAGAGATTGTGGGAGCTCTTAGAGTGTATCTGATCAAGAGAGGGTGTTCTCTTTGATCTATTCTTTTGGGATATAAAAGAATTTGGCGTCGCCGTTACACCGTGGAGTAGCTCCGAAGGAGTGAACCACATATATCTGTGAGTACTGTGATTGATTTTTATGCCTTTATTCTGTGTATTACGTCTCCGTTTGAAGTGTTATTGTTGGTGTGTACCCTAACAACTGGTATCAGAGCGATAAGTTAGAGATTCAAGTTACAGGATACTGTGGCTTTGTCGACAATCGAAGCCGAGTACGTGTCTGTAGCAGAGGCAGCAAAGGAGTTGCTATGGTTGAAGGTTTTTCTTCTCGAGCTTAGAGTAAGCTTTGAGAAATACTTCATCCACTGCGACAGTCAGAGTGCCATTTACGTATCAGAGAACGACGCATTCCATATTCGGATCAAACATGTTGACGTGAAGCACCATGTCATACGGAGATGGCAAAGCAGGAACGAGTTCAAGCTTATGAAGATTGATACGAGGTACAATCCGATCGATATGCTGACCAAGCCAGTTCCACTCGAGAAGGTGATGCTGTGTGCAGCCTCATATGGTCTTCGTTGAGAACGTTGAGGGCCGTGTAAGACGTCAAAGATACAAGACATCCGGATGATGTAACCAAGATTGATGTGTATCCTAACAACTAGTATCAGAGACTGACTTAAAGTATATATATCTACTTATCGTATGCTTTGTGTTTCCCACAAAAAGTGGATCTTGCACATCAGAAAATAAGTTAAATTATTATTTATTCTTTTAAGGCACTAGGCACTATTCATGAATATGATACTATTCATCAGTACGGTACTGTTTACAAGTACTATTATTATTCACAAATACGGTTCGGGAAAGACGTAATCTTTCGCCATGGGATCTACAGTTAAAGATAACAGACTTCGAATTGAGAAATTCAACGGCCAAAATTTTAGGTATTAGAGGATACAAATAGAAGACTATTTATACCAGAAGGATCTCTTCTTACCCCTCTAAGGAGAGGCGGAAAAACCTGAGAAAATGAACGACGATAAGTGAATGGTGCTCGATCGTAAAGCACTTGCCACCATCAGGCTCAATCTTTACCAGCATGCGACTTATAACGTCTCACATGCGATCACCACCAAGGAGTTGATTGAGGCCTTGGAGGCGTTGTATAAGAAGCCGTCTGCTTCAAATAATGTGTTCCTGATGAAGAAGCTATTCAATTTAAAGATGCAGCAAGGAGCTCGTGTGACGGACTTCTTGAACGAATTTCAGGCTTTGGTACAACAACTTGCTGCAGTAGATCTTAAGTTCGATAATGAGATCCAAGCTCTTCTGCTACTATCTTGTCTACCAGATTCGTGGGAGAATATGGTGATGACGGTGAGCAACGCCAATGATAATGATAAGATAAAGCTCGACACGGTGATTGGGGCAATTCTGAATGAAGAATCTTGCCGCAAAGTCTCAGGAGCTGAGGTCTCTAGCAGTGTGAGTGCTCTGCATATCGAGGCACGAGGGCATACGCAGAAGAAGGGTGGGGGACGACGAGGCCAATCAAAATCCAGAGGGAAGTCTAAAGGGCTAAACCCGAATGGTTATGGTGAAGGAAAGTGCTTCAGATGCGGAAAGAAGGGTCACTTTGCACGTGATTGCGGAGTTTCTGTTCCAGCATCAGCAGGGGATGATCGGGCTGACGTGCAACCAATCTCATGCATGAGACGGATTCAGATGCGCTTCTCCTATCCCTAGAAGACAAAAACGATGCGTGAGATCATCGACTCTGGCGCATCTTTTCATGTAACCTCACAACAAAAGCTGTTTTCATCATTCGTGAAGGACTTGGGGACAGTCTATCTTGACGATGATCAACCTTGTAAGGTTTCCGGGAAGGAAAATTGTACCCTCAAGATGGAAGGTGGGATCACCTTGCCGCTGAATGACGTTCGATATGTACCGGATCTTAGGCGAAATCTTTTATTAGTCGGGCAATTGACTGACTCCGGTTACAGAATATCCTTTGAGCAGAGAAGCTGGAAGGTGTCCAAGGGTGTCGTGGTGGTGGCACACGACAAACGCGAGGGGTCTCTCTACATCGCTAATGGGAAGATCGACCACTTGCTTGTCGTAGGAAAAGCATCATCATCATCATCTGTCGACTGCATGACTTGGCATCGATGACTTGATCACATGAGCGAGAAGGAGATGCAGATTATGGCCGCGGGAGAGAAGCTTCCGGGTCTGAACAAGCTCGATCTAACTTTCTGTGAGGACCGCATCTTAGGCAAACAAAAGAAGGTGAGCTTCAACAAGACCGGACCGGCTCTAAAACTGTAGAAATTAGAGTTGGTGCACACCGACGTGTGAGGACCTGCGCAACTCCCATCTGTTGGAAAAAAAATTTTCTTTGTCACTTTTATTGATGATGCTACTAGAAAATTATGGGTGTTCTTCTTGAAGCACAAGTTAGATGTTTTCATTATTTTTAAGAAGTGGCTTGTCTGTGTGGAGAACGAAACAAGCAATAAGCTAAAGTGCCTAAAATCTGATAATGAAGGCGAGTATTGCACCCAGGAGTTCGAGAACTTCTACTCGCCCCATGGGATTAGGAGACTGAAGACCGTCCCGGGCACACCTCAGCACAACGGAGTGGCGGAGTGTATGAATCGTACTATCTTGGAGCGCGTCAGAAGTATGAGGATCCACTCCGGATTGCCTAAGAGTTTTTGGACCGAAGCTGTCAATACTGCTGCATACTTGATCAACCGTGGGCCATCCGCGGCTCTCAGTTATGTGATACCTGAAGAGGTTTGGATCGGAAAGAAGCTGAAGCTAGAGCACTTACGAGTATTTGGTTGTGACGCCTATGTCATGACCAATTCTGCAGACCGATCAAAGCTTGATCCAAAGTCAAAGAAACTCTCTTTCATTGACTATGGAGGAGATGGGTATGGGTACCGTTTTTAGGATCACGATGCGCGCAAGGTGATGCATAGTCGTGACGTCGTGTTTCATGAGAATGCGGTGTACAAGACCAAAGAGGTGAGTGAGAGTCAGCTATCTCTTCCTCTTTTCCCAGATATTGCTGACAGTGAGGACAACGATGAAATACCTATCAGCATAAAAGACGAAGATCAAGAGAACTTGCCGGATGTACAGCAGCAGGATCTAACAGAGTTGCCGATCGTAATTCGCAAAGCTCCAAGAAATCCAAAGGTGCCAAAGAGGTACCTTTCTACCATGACATTATCTTCTCCTAACTGACAATGGTGAGCCAGAAAGCTATGAGGAGGTACAATAGACCGACAAAGCTCGGGACGAGTGGGAGTCTGCCATGGAGGAAGAAATGAAGTATTTGATGAAGAATGAGACTTGGGAGCTCGTAAAGCTTCTAAGAGGGAGAAAGAAATCTTCACAATCGATGGATTTATCGGGTCAAGGATGAAGCCGATGGACGGAGACGCTACAAGGCGAGGCTTGTAGTGAAGGGCTACGAGCAGAAAGCAGAGATAGACTATTTTGACGTTTTCGCTCCCGTCGTCAAGTTGACCACGATCCGGACTGTGCTGAGCATTGTAGCAGTTCGAGATCTCCACCTAGAACAGATGGATGTGAAGACGATATTTCTTCATGGAGATTTGGAGGAAGAAATCTATATGCATCAACCAGTGGGCTTCGAGGAACGAGGCAGGAAGGGTCTTGTGTGTCGTCTGCGCAAGAGCTTGTATGGCCTGACGCAAGCTCCGCGACAGTGATACATGAAGTTCGAGAACTTTATGGAGGAGAACTATTTTCTCAAATACGACACAGACCATTGCTGCTTCATCAAGAAATATGACGTATCCTATGTGATACTCTTGATTTATGTTGATGACATGTTGATTGCAGGGCCCGACTTGACCCGCATTGAAGAACTCAAGGGGCGTTTCTCCAAGTGTTTCGAGATGAAGGATTTGGGTCCAGCAAACTAGATTCTGGGGATGAAGATCATCAGAGATAGATCAGCACGAAGGCTGAGGTTGTCTCAGAAGGCCTAAATTGAGAAGATTCTTAAAAAGTTCGGCATGGAGAAAGCTAAACCAGTGGGCTGTCTTTTGCAAGCCATCTCAAGCTATCGAAGACCCAAGCACCAGAGACTGCTGAAGAGCATGAGTTCATGCCCAAAATACAATACGCATCTGCCGTCGGGAGTTTGATGTATGCGATGGTGTGCATAAGGTTAGATATTGCACAAGGAGTGGAAGTTGTGAGCCGCTTCATGAGCAATCCGGGGAAACAATACTAGGGTGCGGTCAAGTGGCTTCTACGCTACTTGAGATGCTTGTCCGACTGTTGTCTTGAGTATGACGGGACAGATTTGCAGCTAGAAGGTTTTTGTGATGCAGACTACGCAAGGAACATAGACTCAAGAAGGAGCACGAGCGGCTACATCTTCATCTTGAATGGTGGAACGATAAGTTGGAGATTCAAGTTATAGGATACTGTGGTTTTGTCGACAATCGAAGCCGAGTACATGTCTGCAGCAGAAGCAGCAAAGGAGTTGCTATGGTTGAAGGTTTTTCTTCTCGAACTTGAAGTAAGCTTTGAGAAATACTTCATCTACTGCGACAGTCAGAGTGTCATTCACTTGTCAGAGAACGACGCATTCCATGCTCGGATTAAACATGTTGACGTGAAGTACCATGCCATACGGAGATGACAAAACAGAAACGAGTTCAAGCTTATGAAAATTGATACGAGGTACAATCCAGCCGATATGCTGACCAAGCCAGTTCCACTCGAGAAGGTGAGGCTGTGCAGCCTCATATGACCTCCGTTGAGAACGTTGATGGCCGTGTAAGACGTCAAAGATACAAGACATCCGGATGATGCAACCAAGATTGGAGTGTATCCTAACAATAATCACTGTAAAATAACACCGATGATTAGGATTAAACTAAGTTGGACATGGATGGCTGCAGCTATGAAAACAATGTAGCTTATTGTGGTAGAGGTGTTTCTTAAATAGAGCTGAATAGAGAAAAGGGATGATGTAGCTAACCCTGAATGCTTGGATATGGTCTTTTTTCTTTTTTGGCTGTACGTTGACATTTATATATATGTAATATTTCTGTTACGCTTCATTTTAACACAGTGGTAATCTTGAAAATTGTTTCTTGATGACTAATACTTCCACACAATTTATTTTTTAATTATTGGAACATCTATCTCTATTGTGAATCTTAGCTTTCTGATAGCATGCCCTTTTCTTTCTTGTATATTATGCTAGCTTAAAGTTGTGTGACATAGTTTAGCGTGTGAATGCCTATTATGTACTTGTGTCAATGCTCGTCATGTTTTAAACATTGACATTTCCTGGAGCAGACACTTCTCACATAGCAATTTTAAAACATTTTATTTACTGATAAGATGCATTTATGGTGCTTCCCAAAACACTTATTTCATACTCAACTTTTTTCTTGCATTTGTAATGAAAGACTATTTTTAGTGGAAACGTTGGCAAGATAACATATACATATACACACAGACGTATACATGTAAGTATGTATAACAACACTAGTCTTTTTAGTTAAGGAATTGCCATGCCAGAATTTGTCTTGTCTCATGTACATGCTGTGTTTCTTAGGTTGCTTGAGATATGCATTCTTCAATATTTTGTTTATCGAACCAGTTAAACTTTTCAATAATTTCCCGTTCCTTGGTACTGTCAATTTTTATTTTTACATATAATCCTATATAAATGGCATTAATTACCAATATCAAACTGATCTATCACTTCCTTGTATTTATTTGTCCATTTATACTAGTTTGGCCAGAAAACTATAGTATACAACTGATTGTAGCAGTAACAATTGGCTTCTTACCTTACTTGAACGTTTAGCTTAGATCTTTGTTGCACTTGACATGGAATTTGGACTGGTTTGAATTGCATTTGGACTGATAAAAGTTCTCTTGATTTTCAAGAATTTATGTGATAATTGCTTTGTCATTTGGAACCTACCCTGTGTTATACAATATGGATACCCTAATGAAAATATTGTATCCAGATCTGCAGAGCTCTTGCCTATATACACAACTGTGTCGGAATCTGCCATCGAGATATTAAACCTCAAAATTTGCTGGTGAGATCTCTCTTACTCTCCCAATTGATAGTCCTTTGTTTTGCCTTTTCGTCAGTGCTCTCAGAAACATGTTCTGTAAATTTGCTTTTGTCCATGCCTTTCTGTGCCCATTAAAGCCCACACAAAAAAGAAAAAAAAGAAAAAAAAAACACCACACACACCCACCCCATATGTATACAAATATAAAATAAAGATATGATATGAAAATCTTAAACATTCAGGATACATACACACACATACTTTCAGTGTTTGTTATGACATTAACTTCAAGTTGTAGAAACTAAAAATTGATTGAATAGTCATCATTATTACTTACTCCTTTTATGAAAGTTTGAAAAGTATATCACTGTATCTATAAATTGAATTGAATTATGAGCCTCATAAGTCGCACAAGTTAAATCGAATTTTGCTTGCAAGGTTGGCACATGAGTGTCTCATTACCTTTATCGGTTTTCTTGCCTTCCTTAGCTACACTAACAGCATGTTAGGTTGTACAAAATACAAATCATCCTCTCTCCCAAATATGACATCCATATCTTAATCAATGTCACATCGAAGGAGATCTACAAGGTCTCTTGAGGTTTCTCTATGCTTTAAAAGCCATACTTTCTCAACAAGTCTCTTTGATTTTGGATGCTTCCGAAAAACATGAAAAATAAAATAAATAAATAAATAAATGCATAAATGAATAAAGAGGAGAGGACCTTCCTGCATATTTTCTTTCTCGAAACATTTCTCTCCTTGATGCTTCTAGAGACAAAATATGTAAATGGCTCAAGTTGCTGCTTTGTTTACATAGGCATGGAGCTGCATTGAGTTAGGCTCATCTCAAGGTTAACTTATGCTGTGGATTGATCTGTAAGAGTTTCTTAGGCAATGGTATAAATGAGGATTGACAGAAATTGACATCAAAGCTCTTCCTGGCACCAGCATGCCACTTTAAACTTCTATACATGCGTATCATAATATTGAGGCACTGATTATAAGGCGCATATTTAGATGTCATGTGCATTCTCTACAGTTCATTGTGTATTTATCATTGCTGATTATCTATCATTCAGTCAGCTATGTCCATATTCTCATTTCAGGTGAATTCACATACACATCAACTTAAATTATGCGATTTTGGTAGTGCGAAAGTTCTGGTGAGACGTCTATGCCCTTAATCATGCATGTTAAAATCCAGAAGCTTCCAGGTTTCAGTAAATTCTGTTGTCATTATCCAGGTTAAGGGAGAGCCAAACGTCTCTTATATTTGTTCCAGATATTATCGTGCTCCTGAGCTTATCTTTGGGGCAACTGAATATACAAATGCTATTGACCTGTGGTCTACAGGCTGTGTGATGGCTGAATTACTTCTCGGACAGGTTGTTCTTTGTTTTGACAATTTTTTTCTTAAATCATCCTTTGCGCAAAATCTGACATTTTTGTTTCCTTACAATACAATGGTTTATATAGCCCTTATTTCCTGGTGAAAGTGGAGTTGATCAGCTCGTTGAGATCATTAAGGTGACACTGTTGTGTTAAAAGTGCACATGCTCTTATAGATGGTCTGAGTTTTCTAATATACCGTATATGTGTTGCATTCTTAGGTTCTGGGGACCCCTACAAGGGAAGAGATAAAGTGCATGAATCCTAACTATACTGAGTTTAAATTTCCACAGATAAAGGCTCATCCATGGCACAAGGTAACAAAATCTGCTGTGTTCTGTATGCTTTATCAGCCTCCTATTTTGAACAGAGTCCTGCCTAAGTTAAAGCTGAATAGTATGTTTGTAATTTCTGAGTAGTGAAGTTACTTTTCTAAAAGTAACCCTTTATTTTAGTAATCTTTCTTAAAGGAAAAAAAGAAAAAGAAGATGTTGTACTACAAATTTTCTAATAGGGTGAAAATTGAACCTGGAAAACCCTTTATTTTAATTATCTTTTTTAAAGTGAAAAAGATGTTTCCTTTTCTTTGTTTGCACTTTGCATATATGGGCTTGATCTTTCCTCTTGTGCTGCTTGGTAGTGCTACTGATGTTTAAAGAAAAAGCTAAGTTACCTGGACACCTCATCTGGGCTCTCATATCTGTGTCAACACTTCCCATATCTGTATCCGTGTCCAACACCCTTTGGACACTTCTTGAATATATACATACATTTATTTAGACGTGTACTCAATTATATAATACATATTTTAGTTTAAAATGCTTGTGATACACTTCTTGGACGTATATCAAACATCACCTCAAATTTTTGCAACTCGTTGGGTTCGGGCTGTGTTCATTTCAACCCATACCCGGTTCATAAGTATGATTTTCAAGGTTTAGTTCAAAATCGAGCGGTTTTCCAATTTATATTCTACTCAATAAAAGAAACATAAAGAAATGAATTTTAGTTATCATAACACGTGAATGGAAAAAAAATCTTCGATATAAATTTCAATATGCATATATATAGCCGTGCCATGCACTTGTATCCGGCCTTTTACAAATTTTCCATGTCCTGTATCATGGCATCCGGACCAGTGGAACTTAGAAGATAAGGATCTGTTTTTGTCATCTGAAGTTTCACAGAAGATGTTAAAGTCTGCCCCCTAATCTAATTATTCTAAGCACTCCCCAAGACTATTTGAGTGTCTCCTAAGCAAACTGCTGAATATTCCTAGAAAATTGAAAGATTACTCTCTGAATAAAGAATTGATCATGACACAGTTGATGACTGCTCTGTCCGATTCCCAGATATCCAACCATGCTTTACATTAACTTCTTAAGAAATTTTCTTCTCTATAACCTTTGAATTTTTCAAGAAATTTCAGAAGTTTGAAATGCATAATTTCTACTTAGGGTATCAAAAATGACTTGTATCTGTTTCTGCGTTCAATGCATAAGGACTAGGGATAAACACAATAACTTGTGGATCTTCCAATTTCATATAAATACATATTCATGGATTTCATCCTTGTTCAAGGTTCTTTCTTGTGGATTATTCTTTATATATGTCTGGTAGAACCGTAGAAACCATTAGCAACATGATACTCAGCCTCTCTGTCAGTCTGATTATGTTTGATGTCTCTTGATTTCATTAATAATCTTGTATATATGATCTGTAACTATTAGTGAAATATTTTAATTCAGCTTTCAGTGTGAAGGGACATCATAATTTTTTGTGCTTAATAGTGCAGTGCTTAATGCTACATTCATGGAAAATGTTCTACATCTCTTAATTAGTTTTATAATAGTTTCCTCGACTTTTTTCCATTCTCCTAAGCATAAGTTGTCCTTGTGGATCACATGAACAGTAAATCCTGTTGCTGAAATTACAACTTGATATATTAAAGGAGCCTGTTCTTTCCTTTTGTAGAAGAGAATGCTGCATTAGGTTTCCACTTCATGTTAAAAACTGAAGTACTATAAGATGATCAACAAAGTTGTTCTAGTTTCAAGAAGAAAAGAAGTACACCCTATAACTTGTGAAACTAAGCATTAGGCTTCGTTTGGATACTATGGTATTTTCTTTGTTTCCATAGTGTTTTTGCCTAAAACAAACCACCATGTGTTTGGGGACCATAGTATTTTTTGAGCTAAATCATTCTCAAATCAAAAGTACAACATTTATTGCGAAACACTTTTTAGATGTTTTGCTTTGTTTGGATACCATGGTGTTTTCCTTGATGTGTTTTTTTTTTAAAAACATCATGATGTTATGTTTCTCCCTGAAGTGTTTTCAAAACGCCATGCCAAATGTTTTTGGTCAACACTAGTTTGACCTTTTCTAACATTAATATTATATGTATTATTAATATATTATATATTACTTATAATAGAATATGTTATAATAAATATTATTTCTTTTACATAATTAATATATTGTTAATATTAAATATAACATAATATAATATTTCATAATGTATTATAATATTGTATTGTGCTTTAATGTATTGTATTATATTACAATTATTCAATATTATCTTCAAATATTAATATATTAAATTATTTTCTTTTGTCAATTTATTATTGTTATATATTCTATAATATTTTAAAATAAAATTATTTTATTATTAATATAATACTATATATATTAATATAAATAATAATAATATATAATATGCTGGTTATTACTAGTATATTACTAATATACATTATCATTATCAAGTATTTTTAAAATAATATAATATATTATCAGTTTTAATATGGTTAGCATTATATAAAATACTTTACTTTAATTAAATAATTTATGATATAAATCAATATTATTATATTTTGAATATATTATTAGTACATTGACATTTGTTTAGCAGTTATATTGTTTATATAATAAATATTTATTTTATAATATATTATATTACGTATTATATAATTAATATATTATTTTTATAAAACAGGTTAATATGCTTTAAATTATCTACATTGTTTATCTATAATATATGATATAAATATTATTATTCTATTATTGTTTTTTATATAGCTTCTCATTATATAACATTTTATAATTATTATTATTTACATAGTCTTTATTAAAAAATAAACAATATTATAGTGATTATAATAGTGCATATTATATTATTATATTATTATTATATTATTATTTATTATCAATAACTTATATTATTTTTTATTAATATATGTATATTATTTTATTAAAATGTAAATGTTAAAGAAACCAATAAGCAAAGGATTATAAAATATATAAATTCTATGAATGAATTATATTCAGAAAATCCTTTAAAAGAATTTAATAGAGGTCCTAGAAATATGTTTACAAAATTAAAGAAAAACACCCGACCTTTAGAATGAAACCTTTAGTATATAATGAACAAGGCATTTTAGAATATAAAAAACAAGTCTTAGAATGGATAAACCTAGGATTAGTAAGTCTGGCTATATCTGAATATATATGTCTACTACTTTTGTAGTAAGAAATCATGTGGAGGAAGTTAGAGGAAAAGCTAGAATAGTAGTAAACTATAAAAAATTAAATGCTATTATAGAATTTGATGAATTTTTTATCCCATCTATAGAATCATTAATACATAAAATACAAAATAACAAATACTTTAGTGAATTCGATGCTAGACCAGGATTTCAGTACCCCTAATGGCCATTATATGTGGAATGTTATGCTATTTGGATTAAAAAATGCTCCATAGATATTTTAGCCTGTAAATATTCTTCAGGCTCTTCCGTAGTAGGTTTTTGCATGAACCAAATCTGGAATGAAGGACACATTTCTGCTTCTAATTGGGTTGGATATAAAGCTACTATTTCAGTTTCGATTCCTTTAATAAGAGGGTTCATTCCTTGAATAATATTTCATATCATTCTGGAAAAGTATTTAAACTGACGGTATTCTGTTCTGTCAATCATGTTTTTTCAAAATGTCACATTCTTGATAATAAAATGTGAGGTATGGTATGGATTTGGAATCATATGAACATTGTCTTACCTTTTTTTTTAAAGAAGATAAAGCTAATTTATCAATTTTGGCTTCAATAAGCTGATTTATTTCTTGAGGTAACTTTTCAAGTTCTTTTGTCATCCATTTTCTATATTCCAACATACTTTCTGGTGTCCATATATTAAATTTATCAAAGAACAACCGAAAGTCTGCCTCTTTTATGACTTCGCTTTTTTCTTGTACATAGTCCTGGATTCTCCTTTTAAACTCTTCCATTTAATTTTAATCACCTATAACTTTTATTTTTAACTGTAAATTTTCCTCTTCTAATTGTTTCACCTTTATACCCGGTCCATTTATAGCATTTCTAATTGTTTTCCCTCTTCTAAATGTAAATTTTCATCTTCTAATTCCCAACAGCCTACCATATATCATTGAAGCTTATATATTAGATTCTCTATAATATAGTACAGTATAGTTGATATTATTTAATAAATATTACTAATGTTTTACTTTTAGTTGTTTTAAGTATGTTGTTTTGGCTTTGAGTTTGTGAAAGTGTTAATATAATATCTAACATAGTATATTAAATATAATTAATATATTATTATTAATGACATGCTTGTTATATTATATTATATTATATTATGCTATATTATAGTTTAGTTAATTTATTATATTAATAATATTTATAATATTTATTAAATAGTATCATATATATTAATAATTGAAATATCTTATATAATAATATAATAACATATTAAATACTAATATTTAATATGATGATAATGTATTATATAATAATATAATTAAAGTAAAGTAAATTAATGAAAAATACTATTATATTACAATATTATTATACTATATTATAGTTAATCTAATACCTTAGTAATATTTATTAAATAATATAAAATATATTAATAATTAAAATGTCTTATATAATAATATATTAAATACTAATATTTGACATGTTGATAATGCATTAAATAATAAAAGTATTATAATAATAAATAATAAAATAATGTAAATAAAGTAATAAAAAAGTAAACAATTATTGATAATAAATAATAATATAATAATTTAATATGCAGTATTATAATCACTATAATTATTTTTTTATAAATAATATGTAATAAATTAATAATTATAAAATATTACGTAATAGTATTATATAATGTTTAAAATAATGATAATATATTAATTTATTAATAATGTACTAGTAATAGCACATTATATTGTATAATATTTATAATAATATTATATGAAAATAGTAAAATAATTTTATTTTAAAAATATTATAAAATATATAACAATAATAAATTGACATATGAAAATAATTAAATCTATTATTATTTGAAGATAATATGTAATAATTATAATATAATATAATACATTAAAGTACAATGTAATATTATAATACATTATACCATATTATATTATATTTAATATTAACAATATATTAATAATTTAAAATAAATAATATTTTATTTATAATATATTCTATTATAATTAATATATAATATATTAATAATATATTTAATATATTAATGTTATAACGGGTCAAACTAGTATTGATAAAAAACACTCAGTGTGGTGTTTTGAAAACACATTAGGGAGAAACACAACATCATGATGTTTTTTTCAATAAAAACACATCAAGTAAAATACCATGGTGTTTTCTAGGATGAAATGTAGTTTTAACTCTGACATGTAGGATCTTTCACCAACAAAAAAATTGCTTCCCTGAGACAGCCGCATGAGACAAGTCCCTATCTGAGTTCCACGTCCTAGACTGACCTCATATGTTTATCCATATTTTCTTTAGAATTACGTACAAGATGAAGTATGCTATTCTGCAATGAAAATAGGTAGTTGTTTCTTCGTTCACCTTTAATAAAAATTAGGCACATTTTAGCTAACTGTTATTCCTGACTCACCTTCTTTCTTATCTTGGTAGATCGTTCTTCCAAATGAACCATCATCTCACGCATTCAAGCACACACATGCCCAGACATACATACAAAAGCACACACATAGCACACACATGTATGTGTGAGGAAATCTGTAAGCCTTTGAGAAGATTCCTTCTCCCCCCACGACGATGTCATTCCTCTTTTTGTCCTATGACCGCATCCATCTCTTCTCCCACTATGTTCTCATTTCACTTTTTGTATCGTAGGCTGATCACCTCCGGTTGTAGAAAAGTAAGAGAAGATTCTCTCTTCCTTTGAAGAAAAGTATAAATATGACTATATGAGAGTTGGGTTGTCTTTTCACAGGGTTGGCTGGTGTGTTGCTAATGTGGCATACATCTAAGGCCTCCAAAGCACCCAAATTGTTAGCATACATACAAGTTATGGCTGATGGTTTGGATGTGTGCCATATAAGCAACAAGCTGTCCATGAGCGTGGAGGAACACACAGGCCCACCTACTACACTCATGTCAAGTCTTCAACATATAACACCTTACCCGTAGGTTTGTTTATATTAGTCACATATACATGTAGGCATAGAGTTTTATATATGTAGCCAGGTTCTCATATCTAGATGTTTGGACATTCTTTTTCGATAGTGCGGTGCACAAGTATGGTGTTGTATCCTTGTCAATAGTTGTTGGTTTTTAGCATAATCCAGTGTGATCGGTATAGATTGTTCTTTTTCGATATTGCAGCATGGTTTAGATTGGTCGCTAAATCTTATTCCAACATTAACTCTTTTTAATAAGGATAGAAAGGTTGGCCTGTTTCTGATGTGTCCTGTTATAACCATAGTTCATAGGACCTTTTCCACTGTATCCTTTGATAAGATACAATTTCTCATATGAAATTCACAACCTAATCCTAGTTTATTTTTAAATTTACAGTCAGTACAATCAGACCTTGACTTCAAGCAAATCCGATAAATGTTGAACCAACTCCAATAATAATTCTGCAGACCCAACCATTAAGCCTTTGCTTTGTTTTTAAAATTTAAATGACAGCTATAATTTTATCCTCAGTAGATGGCCATTGACTCTACATTTTATATGCTCGACTGCAACACGATTATTCTACTGATTGACAGGCTGTCAGTCGTGGTGATGAATCTTCTAGAGCAGGACACATGAAACTTTGCATAGCATGACTTTTTAGGAGCCAATTACTGAATCAATTAACTGTTTTCCTTAGTAAATATCACTGTCAGCACATAACAAATGAGATTCTGCTGATTTGAAAATCAATTCTTTATGAAATAAACTTGCACGTGAACCATTAACATCTATGATTTTTGAGTGGAATGAATTCCGGAGTTATTGGTTTGTCTGATTGTATATATTACCTCATTTACAGTTTATTTGACATTGTAACTGCCACCAGGTTTTCCAAAAACGGTTACCCCCAGAAGCAGTTGACCTGGTCACTAGGTTTCTGCAGTATTCCCCGAAGCTTCGCTGCACTGCTGTAAGTCGAGATATAATTGAAGAATGGGTGTGCATGATTGTGAGACATTAACTCACAACTTGAAAACTCTTCATCTGACTGCTTTGCAGTTGGAGGCCTGCATTCATCCTTTCTTTGATGAGCTGAGAGATCCAAACACTCGTCTTCCCAATGGTCGTCCTCTTCCTCCATTATTTAATTTCAGGTCTCAAGGTGAGATACATATTATATTTGGAGCTAAAATAATGTCAACATCTCATATGATTCGAATTATAAGGACTGTCAGAAAATTTGGGATATGCTAGAGACATATTTATTTTCATACTGCTTTTCTAAGACATAGAGTTCACAGCAATAAAACATTCTCACTTTTTGGTTGTTTTGTCATCTCAATGCTTTCCATCTTAACGAAATTGGCAGAGCTAATGGGCATGCCCCAGAATGTTCTCGAAAAGCTTATTCCCGATAATGCGAGAAAGCAGAACGTGTTCATGGCCTTGCAAACATAGCAGGCTAAATTTGAATTTGTGCAACTGAGGGGGTCATCTCATCAAGTTTGGCAGTAATGAGATGTAAGTTCTCTGTTTTTATGTTTCTTTTGTTTTAATATATCTGTATCTATTTTCTGTTTCTTTGCTCGGTTCTTCCTCATCCTGCCAATTTCATCTTTGTTTGAAGTGTGTGGAGATGAATGCTGTATTGTGATTCCAGAATTGTATTAAATATATGTATTTAGCTTACGAAACTAGTGAAATCTCCGGTGAGAAACGGAAGGAGAGTCATATACGGGAATGTTTTGTATGAGCAAGTGAGTTATCTCAAATTCAAGGCAGTTGGATCTGGACTTGATTTCTAATACGAGAACAATTTTCTACTTCCAGAGCTGAAGAGGATAACAACTTCATACCTTTCTTGTTATTTTGGTTAAAATTGAAAATATCAGCAGCTCATGCATCGAAATTTTCTAATAAAGATACTGATTTTCCCGTAAATAACCATACAATGGCATGGCTTGTGACTTGATTGGTTATATGTACTTTCTGCAGTTTGTAAATTTTTTTAAATGGTAACGTCTTTTAAACAAATTGATGGTATGGAGATTAAAAATAAAGCACAAATAGATTTATGTGCCATTTCTTAGCTTTCAGTATCTGCATATCTGGCGTATTATTTTTTTTTCCATACAATGCCTGCAGCAAAATTTGCGTATTCAACTAGACAATTTACCTATGACTTTCAGTGTTTATGCCTAGCGTTTCTGCGCATATATATCCTTGTTTGCTCAGGTCAACTACCTGTCTGGGAGTTTACTAATTAAGGGAAATGAAAGTAAAGGAAAATGAAAATAGGAGCGAAGAAGGGAAGAAAAGCAAATAGAAAATATAGAAAATATAGTATCATATTTGAAGTTCAGTAAAATAAATGGAGGGGGAATCATTTTAATAGTGCATATGTGGGACTATCCCTTCTCGTGCCCTTTGCGTTTTGTCTATTAATAGTTGTTTGTCAACTTTGTTTTAGTCCAGTACAACTGCACCTTCTTGTCCATGAAATATTACTAAAGGTGGTCCTCTCAATTCCGTTCCAAATCCACCTTCTGCTCCATCCTTTGCTGTTATGTCTAAAGGTTGAGGCTAATGAGGCTTTGTTTTGTGATAGGAGAGCATTTTTAAAAAGACTCTTTCTAGAAAATAATTAGTAAAATCGGCCTTTTTTGACCATCTCAACAAAACCGGTCAAAAGGAGGTCGATTATACAAAATTTATTATTTAAAATATACAGGAATACTAGTCTCGTGTATTTAGCGAGCGCTAATCACCAATTAAAAAAAGCCTAGAAAACACATGGGACTAGGAGTCCCCTGTGATTTGTGTTTTCTGAGCAGTTGTTTTGTAAAATACATAGCACAAGAAGTCTTGTGTGTTTTTACATAACAATTGTTTAGAAAAATACATGGGACTACTACTCCCATATGTTTTACGGAACAACTCCAAGCATGCACGCAACATGCACGATTCTATACCAACTTAGCTCCTACATATGTACAATATTTTCTCTGCATAAAAGATTCAAATTCACCTCATATACATATCCAAATAATATAATCTTTATATAACTTATAATTTTCAAGAAGTAAACATAACTTAATACACATCTATCAATCCAAAACATCACAACAAACACAATAGGTAACATTCCACGACAATACATAACACATCCATACACCAAAGTATTGTGACAAATCCATATATATATCAAGTTTATTTTTTTACAAATAACCTATGTAGATAACGTAGATAGAGACATGCAGAAAATCCATTAATCTACCACATACAACATAGAAGTCCGCCCCTTCCCCTTTCTCTCACTCTTCGTACCCACTCAGATCATCATCATCCTTCATAGACTTGAGTTCGTACGAGCTCGCTCTCAGGTTGTGTGCATGGCTGTGACGGTCCAACCTCATTGTTGTGTGTGCAAAATCCATCTCGTCATTCATCTATTTGATTGGCGTGCATATAAGAGATCCTCCTGCGCCATCTTCTCGTGACCATCATGAAGATCCTCTTAAGTTCGATGAAAAGCTCCATGAACCCTCCACACTATCCACTAATACAGAGATGCATGTATTCCTGGATCTATTCCTGTGACAGAAAGTGCTAGAGTCTCATTTGCAATGCCCTCAATATCACCCATAGCATTTATCTACTATTACGTCAAAAGGTGTATATATAAGAAAATTTTGGTAATACAAAATAAATGAACTTAATAGTAAATTACTTACAAGTTCTCTCTCATTTACACCGCTTAGCATGTATCTCTGTTGTAGGGCACGTTGTTGGCGTTCATCGACTAGAGCCTTAGTCCAATTTATTATCTATCTTCTAGTAATCCCCCAATATGACCCGATATAATGTGATTCTTGCAGACGAAGATCAATATGCTCCACGATACTCAAATGTCGATCACTCCATCTGTGTATGTTCTGATGATGTGCATTTTTCTAGTTTATTAGATGCCCTCCTTTTCTTGGCCACTATCTCTATTCTTTCAACTTCTTGTGGAACATGCTGTGCCAAACCAAAACTGTCTAAGCACACGATCTGACACATGTATCTCCACAATCTCAAAGCATATGAGAGGAATTCTTGCTCTCCATATATCTTGCCCCTCCGTGCAAATTGGTGGTAGATGAGGTAGGTGATCACCGTATGACTGCCACTTGAACTAGAAAATATTCCACATATTAGTATCTCTTTAAAAGTTAGTGGTAGATTAAATTTTCTTAAAGTAAAATTTGATACCTAATAAATCTTCATGCGATCAAGCCCATTTCTATAAAAGTCTAGATGCCTCATCGGGGTCTCATCATAAGCATTTTTAGACGTTACATCTGTGTGAATGATCAAAGTTTAGCATCTAATATCATAACTATAATTCTGAATCAAGTCTGCATTAGTTCAAAAGTGTTTAGTTGTAGCCTAGTGGCATCTGTCAATCTAAAGCTCGTTTCTCACATAGTCTTGGTTTCAAAATAAGTCTCACCCATCCTCAAACTTATAATAAAGTTAGAAATCCCTTGAGCTCTTTATTCTGTCTAAAAGCTACTTTGGACTTTTCTCTATACAAGTATGCTAAAACAACACTACCTCGTAATAATGTCCCGCAAGTGTCCAAGTTCTCGAGATAACCACCTATCATATTAAAAAATGCATTTAGTTCTATTCAAGTAAACAATTTAATTATATAAATATTCAAATTAAATGCATTTAGTTCTATTCAAGTAAACAATTTAATTATATAAATATTCAAATTACAAATTATATTATCTCAAATGCACTTTATCTTTACTAGAATAAGGAAATAGAAGCGTCCGGATCTTGTGCAAAACATATGCACGTGTATGTTGTTGGATCATGTCTTAGGACTCTAGCAACGGGTGTGAGGACATATCTTTTAGCCACTTCAATCTAACATTTCCCTTGGGCAATGAGGGTGGAGCTGCTCGCATCATCTCCTTACAAGCTTGGCGCCATGCATGTCTATCTGTCCCTATAACACATGAACTATCAATTCAAAGACCAAGGATTATTGATACATCTTGGAGAGTAATACTCGACTCTCCAACACATAGATGAAAAGTGTTAGTCTCTGGCCTCTATCTATCAATCAATGCATTAAGTAGTGACCAATCTAATTTCATTCGTCATAGCCTCGAGCATGTGAGAAAACTGGCTTGGGCTACCGCAGTAATCATACGCTCATTCTCAAGTGGCCAATGCATTTGTCCGAGGCTATGATTAACCATAACTAGCTCCAGTGCTCTCTACACAACAAAGAAAGATAATACTAGAGTACAAAATAAAAAGATAATGAAGAAATTAGTTTTCATGTATGCCTCAAGTTTTGTTACCTTTGAAAATGATATGGTATCCGAACAGTGTCGTGACTAATCATAGAGGACATCACCACTATCCGGCCTAGGAAGCGTAGTGTATATACCTACACATACAATTAATCACATATTAGTCTTGCTGAATTAATAAGATTATAATAAAAACATGAAATAAATATAGAAAACTTAATTACTAATTAATTGCTAGCTACTTGTTCTTAATGGACAATAAGACCTATTTGACCAAATTGATTGTATTGACTACGTTTAATTCGCTATGCTACATCTTCTTGATCCATGGTACTTCTAATGCATACATGATGAGGTCATCCCACTTGTATTTTGTACTGTGGTGGTAATGAACATGGTCCATTATAAGTGGCCAACAGTGACCATCATCTGGAGGATGAAAATACCCATTGCAAGCCTTTCAGTAATGATATGTTGAATATCAAGCTGAGCAATACAAATTATAAGGCAATCTAGTACCACCAACTTAATTGGAAATAGCTGCTAAGACATGTTCACGTGGATTTTTTTTACAATTGTTGTATATTATAAGTACAATTGCACTATTGTCTATAGAGATAAATAGTGTAAGTACCTTCACAATCTTTAACCTCCCATTTATTGTCTTTGAATAACGTAATTCTACATGATCTTACAGTCACAGTCCTTTACTACCGTATCCTCTCTTTTTTGGAGTGTAACTCATATGTCTAACTTGCACCATCACCACGTCTTTTCTTAAAGTATGCATTCAACCTATAAAATGTTCTTGCAGCCAAAGCTTGAATTGGTATAGCTCGAGCACCCTTAAGTACGCCATTGAAACTTTCAGAACAATTAGTTGTCATCATACAATAGTGCGCCCCACCATTTTTACTTAACACCCATCGATCATCATATTGCAACTTCAATTTTTGTTCAATCAAGTTGTGCGCTTCAACTAACAGTGACTTAATTTTCTCCCTACAATGCTCACACACCAATGTGTCAGCTGTACACCCGGCTTGCCACTATAGATTTTATAAATTGACCTCTACATGTTTTGTCTTAAAATTATCTCTTATATGCCTCAAGCAATATTAGTGATGATGTAGTGCTTTGAAAGCCTCGTGAAAGGCCCGTGGAATTCCTTACATCATGTCCGGAAATAAAAATAATCATTTTGGGACTTTGGACGTCGCACTTGACCTGTAGTGTTGTGACTTGACGTCGCACAACGGGAAGGCCCAGTTAAAGTTGTAGTTGAGTCCATGCCATTTCACTTAAGTCATTTTCTAAGTGCACGATCGAGTTATTTTCTAAGTCAGGCATGCGGGAGAACTCTCTTGGAGGATTCGAAACTTGGGCAACATTGAAAATTGAAAAATTTTCAATGAAAAAATCAATTGAGATTTACTTTTTAGAGAGTTATATTATATCAATTAATTCTTGATCAATGATGATCTCTATATTAATTGTTCTTTTTTCATTTTTCA